TGAGAGACAGAGTGAGCATGCTGGGGAGGGGCAGAGAGAGGGAGAGATAAATCCCAACCAGGCTCCAAACTGTCAACGCAGAGCCCTACGCGGGGCCTGAATTCTCGAACTGTGAGATCACGACCTGAGCCGAAACCGAGAGTCTGACGCTTAACTGACTGAGCCACCCAGGCGCCCCTAAAACCAATTATATTTTAAAATACTGGTATATGGCTATCATTAACTTGTTTTTATGCAACAGTACTTGTTCAGTTACACAGTTTTTGTGATTAGTAAATACTGTGAAGTGCAATTTTAAGCAGGGATGTGTTTTCCCAGTGGAAGTGATTGGGTTTAAAACTATTTAAATAATTATTGTTTACAGAATGGAATAAGTAACGCAACATGCTCCTTTTGGGTTACTTAGGTTCTTGCTTCTGTTGCCTTTTTTTAATATTAAATTTAAATGCTTGAGCAAACACACTTATTATTTATTTTTTCAAGGAAATCCAGTATTAGGCGTCAGAATGTGCATTTGATTGTCATACATCTGTCTTACTGGAGTTTCTGTACCCCTTCTGAATGCTTTCCTTCTTTTTTTAGGAAACTCTTTGGGCAGGGATTTTGCTTAATTCTTTTATTGTATTGCTTAAATAAGGTAAATATCTTTTTGAGGGGAATCAGGGATGAAAGAGGTAATAACTGCAGATTGTAGAGAATAGCAGTTTCCTTACCCATCTTTTGCTGAACATTTTTTGTGCAATATTGACATTTTGTGAATAAAGATAATAACTTTTCAGGTTTATATTTCTTCTTAAGTTATTTACACTGATGTGAGTGTTATCTTATCGTATCCATGGGAAGAGGCAGTCTTAGGGCCCTCCTACTCCACCATCTTCCCAGCCTCCCTCCTTATATTTCTTCTTAGGAGTAAATCTGTTTTATTTTGTACTGAAATATTTCCATGTTCTAAACTGGCCGTGAGCCCTTATAAACTCTTTCAGCAGTAATAGCAGTGGGAAAAAAAAAAAATGGCATGAGTGGAGCCATTGCCTGTGACTGATCCATTTACAATATATTTAGAATTTGGAATATGAGAATTGTCTTGAGTTTCAGATCCTCTGATTTAAAGAAGCTCTTTACATATTATGCATGTAGTTTATAGAGTTCTGTGTGTTTTTACTATAGGGTGTTATTGAGCATTGATAGGTTATGTTGTTTATACTTAGTTGCTGATATAGCTCCTTTGTGTCATGTTTTTGGGTTTTTGTTTTTGTTTTTTTTTTCCCAGTTAAGCAAATACTCAAGTTTTCACTGTTGCCTAGATTTGCTGACAGGACTAGTAATGAACAAAAGAAGAATCAGCAAACCTCTACATTTATCAGATTTTCTTTTTAAAGTACTGTCCAGGAAACTAGGATATTCATCCAGAAAAGGATACATAATATTTATTAAAAAAAAAAAAAAAAAAAGACAGTGTGAAAAGCGCAAAACTAAGCTCAGTATGAATATTGGTAGTAGCTTTACTTAACCTGTGATGTTGAAAGTCCTTGAAAGTACAGTCACATGGTTTATTTCATAATTCTCTGTGACTTTATTGGTTTTTATGTTGGAATCATAACGATAGTATGTAAAGTTAAATCAGTAAAATAATACAAATATAGTAGGTTTTTTGTGGGGGGACTAGTGAGTTTCCTCTTTGTAATAGGAGATATAAACAGGAATGGCTGGGAGTGAATATTATGTTGTGTCTTTTAACTCCTTTTTGTTTAACATGTAATGGAGTTGTACTGACGGGCTTTGTAACTTACTGTGTGAATATACTTTTTTACAGAAAAGTGACTTACCTGTTTTCTTGATTGAGTACATTTATCTTAATGGTCTGCTTAATGAAAGAAATGTCATTTTGGCTGATTCATACTGCAGCAAGGAAGTTTATTATAATCAGTCCTTTATTTATTTACACTTATTTCATAGTTTACAAAATATATCTGCTGTGTACCTGGTCTTATGTCAGTTGTTTTTGGGGATAACAAGGGAAATATAAGACTATGCTATGGAGGAGTTGGTATCTTTCCATAGCAAGGAAAATCAAAAAACAATGTACGTAATATAATTATATGTTAGAATATGTAACAGATAATCGTGACCAGGGTAGATATCAGGGTGTGTCCAAATTCGCAGGAACCAAAGGATCCTAGAGCCTTTATAGCTGAAAGGTAATGTAGATACCGTCTATCCTATAGCCTTTACAGATGAGGAAATGTTCTCCCAGCGATTCAGTGTCTTGCCCTCAGTCTCTTCACTGTTGAGTTAGGCATCAGAACCCAAGACTTCTGACTTTCTAGACTCCTCCCCACACCCCCAGTCTCTCTGCCACATCACTGCCAGTCAGATAAGACTTTAAGCAGAAGATGAGTTTTAAAGCTGAGCTTAAAAAAAGGCAAAAAGAATTAGGAATGGGAAGACAGAGAAGCATATTGCTGGGGAAATATTCAGGATTGTAGGTAAAGAATGAGGCATTTGTTCTAGATGCAGGGTTTTTAAGGAATCCCGTGATAAAAGTGATGTTTTAGGATTGATGTGGTGTACAAGATGGTTTGAAACAGAACGCAGAGATTGTATCCATGGAAACCAATATATAAAAATCGAGGCATTCGGTTTGCCGACTAATTGGTTTAAATGCTATTGGAGATACAAACAAAGAACAGTCACCTGACCTCAAGAGGCGTTCAGTCTAATAACGATGCAATAAAATAGAGAATCCAGGATAAATATGTTGAGGATGTTGTGGATGTTGTCCAGTTAATCACACAGAATAAGGACCTTGGGGGAAAGTTCTTGCCAGGTCTTTATGTTAGGAACTTTTTTATTTCTCACCAATAGCTTTGTTTTTAGTCTTCTGGACACTGCTAATAATTGACTTAGTTTTCCTTTCCAATCAAACTACAGTGTTCAGACCAAGTTATTAACCTGAAAGATGGGAAAGGCAATTATGGTATGCATTTTTCTTAGCCTCCTCATTCCCAGTTTCTTTCTATGTCCTTACCTTTTGTTTTATATTTCTTTTATTTAAGCTTCTGTCTTTAAATTCTTGTTCTTTTGTGTTTTATGTGGGCTGCTTTATATCCCTTCTGGAGCAAAGCAGGTGTAAATAAAATAAAATTACCATCACCATAACATAATGATACTGTCTGTATTTTTATAGCACTTTAAAGTTTATAGCAGCCCTCTCATTTTCATTACCTTAGTTGGCCCTTTCAGGCAAGTATTATTATACCCACTTTATAGTTGAGTAAAATAAAGCCTAGATTAAGTGACTTCCCCAAAGTCATGTGCTCAGGAAGCACAAAGTGTGTTTGGGGAACAGCAGGACTTCCAGGTCAGTTATTGCTTAGGCTATACAGTGGGGAGCGGTGGAAGGTTACTGACTCTGTTCTGGAGAGCTCTGAATGCTCTGGGCTGGTGGTGTAGGAGTCTGGATTTCTTTTGCTAGGCAGTAGGGATCCTTTGAATTTTTTTGTTCTGGACTAGCCATGATCAAAGCCCTTAATTCTAAGTGTTTAGCAGCTAATTAGAGTCAAGGGGGATGCTAAGGTTTTGAGCTTAGATTATAAAGAGCAGTGCCAAGTAAACAGAAGCAGGGAGGTTGGAAGAGGGAGCCATTTGGAGACTAGGCAATGAATTCAACTTTGGCGATGTCATTTGAGACATGATTGGTGGCTATTACTGCGTTAAAAATTCGTTATGAAAATCAAGACAGTTTTACTGAATTAAATGTGTGATAAACGTACAAATATTAGGATTGAGATTTGTGCTCCTGCCACTCCATTGTGTAGACTGAGCACTGAGTCTGAGCATTGTAAATCCTAGACCTCTCATTTTGACTTTGCTACTGACTTCTGTGGTTGTTTCTTTCAACAATCAGATGGTGATAACACCGGTGTTAGAGGGATGCCGTGGTGAGTAACAAATTGATAGCAGAAGAATTTTTTAAGTACTATAGTAGTTTTTCTTACATGAGCACAACAGTAAAATCAGCAATTTTATTACTGGTGCTGCTGTAGAGAAGCTTTAGATTGATTCTGTGGGCCATTGTACTTCAGGTTATACATTTCCGTGTGCGGCCAGCACCTTGGGAGAGGGAATGCACTCCACCGGTGCTCTTCTGACAGCTTTCCCATGGAGGTGTTGCATTGTAGCAGACAGAAACTTTGAAGGTTCTCTTGTTAATCTGGCCCCCATCCCTGCCTATGCATTCTTATCTCCTACTCCTTCCTTACAGAGCATGATTCAACAGTTCCACCCTTATCAGCCCACCACAAACACAGTGTTTATCAGGTTTTAATTTTTTTTAATGTTTATTATTTACTTTTGAGACACACACACACACACACACACACACACACACACACACACACAGAGTGCGAGCAGAGGCGGGGCAGAGAGAGAGGGAGACACGGAATCCGAAGCAGAGCCCGATGCGGGGCTCGAACCCATGAACTGTGAGATCATGACCTGAGCCGAAGTCAGACGCTTAACTGATTGAGCCACCCAGGCACCCCAGGTTTTAATTAAAAAAAAAAAAAAAAAAAAAAAAATTACCTAGGGGCCCCTGGGTGGTTCAGTTGCCTACGACTTTGGCTCAGGTCATGATTGCATGTTTCGTGGGTTTGAGCCACAAGCTAGGCTTTGAGCTGGTGTCACGGGGCCTGCTTCGGCCTGTCTCCCTCTTTCTCTGCTCCTTCCCCAATCATGCGCATGAGCGCGCGCGCGCTCTCTCTCTCTCTCTCTCTCTCTCTTTCTCTCTTTCAAAAATAAATAAACATGAAAAAAAATAAAATAGGGTCACCTGGGTGGCTCAGTCGGTTGAGCGTCCAGCTCTTGATTTCGGCTCAGGTCATGATCTCACAGTTTGTGAGTTCAAGCCCCTCGTCGGGCTCTGCGCTGCCAGTGCAGAGCCTCCTTGGGATTCTGTCTCTCTCCCTCTCTCTCTCTGCTCCTTCCTCACTTGTGCACGTACATGTGCTCTCTCTCTCTCTCTCTCTCTCTCTCTCAAGTAAACTTTAAAAAGTTTATTAAAACGATAAAAAAAAAAATCTACCTAAAACTTTGTGTTGAAGAGCTGTTCAGGGAGGGTGGCTGTATTTTATTCTGGTGCTTTGGGCTCTCTTCATCCTTCCCTCCCCACCCCCTCCTACCCCCTCCCCATCCTGCTGCACAGCCCCATCCCAGTTTGAAAGTAAGCCCACCGTTTTGGTCAGGCTGGCACTTGGGATGCTCTGTCAGAACCTGTGCTCACACTGACATCCCTTTGGAATGTCAGGGTATGTGATGTGGTACAGTGAGTGAGAGACCTGGGTTCTGGATCGCTGATTAGCTTTGTGACTTGGGGACAAGTTACTTCACCACTGACTTTTTTCCTTTTTCTACATATTTGTAAATAAAAGAGTTTTCACACTTTTAAAAGCCGTTGGAGTCTTTTGTAATGAATTTTAGGCAGAAGCTTATTATATAAAAGGTGAGAGTGGAGCAATTCTGATTGAAATGGGTGTCAGAGGTAGGAAAAGCATCCCCTGTTTCCCATGGTGGCCCTCAAGGCACTTTCACAGGATCCTGAAGGACTCCTGCTCAGCACACGGTTTGAAAGCTGTTGTCCTTGTTTATCATAAAGGCCCTAGCTCCTGAAATAGCTGATCTCTCAAGCCTGTGCTACTGTCCTAGTTTCTCTGAGGTTAGCTCTTAATTTGTGTTCATTTAGCTAATTCAGCACTTCATTATACACAGTCTTATTTTCTTCTCTAATTGAGTTATGTAAGTAAACCTTGTCTCCAAGAGCCTTGAGATCAAGAACACTCTCCTAGGGACGGAGTGCACATTTAGCAGATAATGTTTAATTGATTAAATTAGGGGTTCTCAATCTTTGCTGGGATAAGACTCATCCCTGGGACTCTCAACATGCAGAGGCCTAGGCCTTACCTCCAGAGTTTCTAATACACTAGAGGTATGGGCATGCATAGTTTAAAAAAGCTTTACAAATGATTCAGTAGCATTGAATGATTAGGACAATTTAAATAAGGATAGTTGCATTTCAAGACCATTGCTTACACTATCTTGAACAGCGGTTCTCAATGTACAAAAAAAAGTCTCTGTAGTGGAAAGATCAATAGAACTAGGAAACCTGGATCCTTATTCCGTCTGTAGCACTGTGTAGCTTCTTTCGTTCGTTCGTTCGTTCGTTCGTTCGTTCCTTCCTTCCTTCCTTCCTTCCTTCCTTCCTTCCTTCCTTCCTTCATGTTTATTTATTTTTGAGAGAGAGAGAGAGACAGATAGACAGAGCATGAGTGGGGGAGAGGCAGAGAGGGAGCTAGAATCCAAAGCAGGCTCCATGCTCTAAGCTGTCAGCACAGAGCCTGACACGGGGCTCAAACCCACAAGTCATGAGATCATGACCTGAGCCAAAGCCAGACACTTAACTGACTGAGCCACCCAGGTGCCCAGCACTGTATAGCTTTCTGATGTTGAACAAATGACTTAACTTTTCTAGCCCATAGGATTCTCACTGATGAATTGTGGATTGTTTTCATACTTTTTTTTTTTCTTTTTAAGCTGTGGAATTCTTCAGTATTATCTTTTGGATGAAGGCCAGTAAACACAGATACTTTGAGTAGCTTGGCTTTCATCTGAATACTATTTTAATAAATGTATTAAGAATATAAAGCATGATAGGTTTGATCCTATCTTAGCAACAGAGCTAAATCACGTGAGATGGGTAGTCCAGAAAGGTAGCATTGGGATTTTAAACTGGAAACATCTTATTAGAATGTGAATGAACAAAGACAGTAAGCTTATCAGGAACTGTACTAGTTCTCAATGTGAGCATGAACTGGATTATAATTAACCAACCTGACTGGTCCTTCTGCATTCATTTAATTCAGTAAATATTTATAGAGCTTGTTTTATTCCTTGCCACGTATACAACATTGGAGATAGAATAGTGAGACAGAGTTTTTGCCTTCAAAGTTTATAATCTGCTGGGCAAGTCATACATTAAATAACACTGTTCATACTTAATTGAGTAAAATACGGGAAATCCAGAGTACTCTGAATAAGATAGGGCCTTAAGCATGAGATAGGGGTACCTAATCTGGACAGGAGGACTTGGGAAGGGCTCCCTGAGTAAATGATGTTTACACTGAGACATGAAGGATGACTGCAAGTTAATCAGTCCAAGGCTGAGTGGGAAGTAGGATTGCAGATGTCCTAAGCGAAAGGAACAGTATATACATTATTCTTGAAACCAGTGAAAACACAGCACTTTCAGGGAACTCAAGTTTGGTCTGGGTGGTCCAGAAAGAGTAAGATTTAGCTCTAGAGCTGAAGATGGTTTTCAAATTATGAGGCTATTTTCATGCTCTTTGTCCTTTATAATGGCCCAATACACGGGCAAAATCTGTGGAAGAGATTCCATACCTTCTACCAAATGTATGAATTTCCAGTGGCAATAATACATAACATTCACCAAGTCTTTGTGCCAGTTACTGTACAAAATCTTTATATGCGTTTTCATATTAATCTTCGCAATGGCCCCATGAGGTGTGTGTGCTTGTCATCCCTTCTTTCACGTGAGACGACAGTGTGAAGAGGCTCAGTGGCACATCTGGGTCTCTGACCCGTTTTGATTGTGGCAGCAAGCAATTAAGAGAATTCTCATGCTTTTAACCATTAAATTGTTTCAAGTCACTTTGATGATGAAGTATGTTAACAACTGTTATTTGAGTTTATCCTTAGTGCGCTTACACACAGCTCCCAGGCGCTTACCCAGGCCCAAATTGTGTGGTCTAGAACCAACCGTATATCCTGCAGTTTGGAGGGATGGACGTCTAACTGGTTACTAGATCCAATGTTAACCTAGATTTCAGGTATCTCCATATGTTGGCTATAGAAGTATTTTGAAACTGTGTATAGATGGCTGAACCCTGAACATTTTGGATTTCTGTTAAGAATTGTATTTAAAACTGAAGCTCTTTGCAGATGTTAGCATTCAGATAATTTTTATTTGGGGCATCATTTATTTTATATTTTTTCATGACCTAGTTTGCTACCTAGGAAATAGGACTTCTACTGTTATGTATTCTTTTGATGAACATGTGTCTAAAATGTTTTAATGTTTCTCAAATGAGTTGTGACTTAAAATTGGTAGACAGGCAAATAGCATGCATTTGTTTACTGCTCCCCTGACCAAGCTGTTCCTAAACCAGGGCTGTAGCTTTCCGTTGAGGAAACATGACTGTCGATTATTGTTTCTGATAAGCTAGCCATTTAGTAGTGTTGGTGTTCTCAATCATGTATCCTCTGTTTAGTCTTGCCCAGCATCACCCTGTTTAGTTGTCTGAAATATTTTTCTTTACGCGACCTTGCTGAGAGCCACTCTCGCGCTCCCCTGGTGCTTTCTCGTGCAGTTGGCCACGAATGCCGTTTAGGCAGAGTAATACATACACATTCATATACCAATCAGTTAGAATGGAATCGGTGAAAGTCCTCTGATGTTATGAAAGACATTGTAAACATCACTATCGCCTGGGAAGACTAATGTAATGAGTGATGCTGGAAGAAATGATGGTGTGATTTCAGGGACTTAGACTTTAGCGTCAGGGCCATTGCCAGCTCATGATGTTGGAATCTTGTCTCATCACGTCAGTTACATACGCTGTAAGGACCGGTATCAGGGCCATTGCCAGCTCGTGAGGCCACAGTCTCATCTGGTCAGTTGCATACTGCTGTGAGGACCGATATGATGTTGGCTCAGTTAGAGCCCCTTTCCTGGAATGTGCCCCTGACTATGTGCATCCACACATCCAAACTCATCCCCCAGATGGGCCTGCCCCTCATGTGTGTGCGCATAATTTACAAAAGGAATCATAGTGTACATGTTTTGTGACTTGCCTCCATCCCCTTTGCTTAAATTTTTTCATGGCTCCCTATTTAGAATTTGTTGAGGTAAATAAGATAAACAATCTTATTTATTTGCTAGGTGTGAGTAACCTTTGGGTAATTTCAAGGCTGACTTCCCCCCCTTACTTTTCCTTTTTTTTTTTTTTTTAAGATCTCTGAACTTTATTTAGTTGAATGACTTCTAGTGGCATAAATAACAAATGACACAGTATTTTATTGTATAGACAGACCAATTATTTACTTGATCCCTTTTATCTAAGCATCCCATCTATAGTGCTTTGTTTTTATTTTTGAATTTTTATTTTTATTTTATTTTTTTTAGTTTTTATTTATCTTGAGAAAGAGAGAGAGAGGGAGAGAGAGAGAGAGAGAGAGAGAGAGAGAGAGAGAGAGCAAGCGGGGAAGGGGCAGAGGGAGGGAGAGACAGAATCTCAAGCAGGCTTTGTGCTGTCAGCGTAGAGCCCAACACTGGGCTTAAACTCATGAATGGTGAGATGATGACCTGAGCTGAGATCAAGAGGTGGATGCTTAACCAAATGACCTACCCAGGTGTCCTGATTTAAAAAAAAAAAAAAAAAAAAATTAAGATTTTATTTTTAAATAATCTCTACACCCAACATGGGGCTCAAACTGACAATACTGAGATCAGGAATCACATGCCCCACCCACTAAGCCAGCCAGGTGCCCCTAAAGTGTTATATTTTTTAAAATATAAATCCTTAGGAATAAGAATGACAGAATAAAAAAGTTACATATTTAAATATTTTGGACATGTTATCAGATTGCCCTTGGGAGAGGTACCATTCGATATTTTTATCTACAGTATGTATTTTATCTGTAATAATAATGTCAGTTTCCCCACAAGCTCTTTTAAATTTTTGCTTTGTTGATAAAGAATGTCTATGAATATATTATCGTTTTCATATTTTTATTGTATGTTGGGCATCTTATTAAATTTTTTTCTTTTTCTGTATATCTTTCAAATGTCAATGATTTTTTTCTTGTTGTTTTGCACTGGTTCTAGCCTTTTCAGAATATTTGTGGTTTTTCTGAAAATGTATAACTTTCATATTGTCT